ACACTCCCCACTGGGGATGTGCCGGCAACCAAGGTACATGCCCTTGACATGAATCGAACCTGGGACCCTTCAGTCTGTAGGCCTATTGCTCTATCCACTGAGCCAAATCGGTTAGGGCCCTAAACATTTTTAAAGTGGAGCTTTCTTGCCCTAGCCGGTATTGCTCAGTGGATAGAGCGTCGGTCCACAGACCGAAGGGTTCTGGGTTTGATTCTGGTTAAGGGCACATGCCCAGGTTGTGGGCTTGATCCTCTACAGGGGGCGTGTAGGAGACAGCCGATCAATGATTCTCTCATCCTTGATGTTTCTCTCTCTCCCTCTCTCAAATCAATAAAAACATGTTAGGGAAAAAGTAGAGCTTTCCGAAGCCTTTCCCAGGGTGCACTGTGAGATCCAGCGCCTCGCCAGTCTGGTCCTCGGTGCAGGCGGGTGGACTGCCAAGAACGGGTGGGAACAGCTTGGGGCGAGTGGGCGCAGGCCGCTATCCAGGGTGGGCTGTGAGGACGGACGTGCCCCCGGCCTGCGACCCCACACCGGCATCACGGCTGTGTGTGTAAGCTTCAGACATGAAAACGCAGCATTTTGGTCCTTCAGGCTCAAATGTTTCTATTTTCTGTTTAACGGTAAACAAACCTCATATCCTGTGGTTTGTAAACCACAGTTCCCTTTACTCAGCATCCTACGGAGCTGGGGAGATGGTCTCTGAGGCCCTGGGAGGCTGTGGAGGGGCAGGCCCGGCATGCTAGTGCCCACAGGTGATGGGCCCTGGGGCAGGATGTTTGGGAGCATTCCCATAACAAAGGCAAATCATTCACACTGGCCACAGGTTCCAGTCTGGCCCAGGCAGAGCTGAGTGGGAGGCTGGGTGGGCGGTTACGTCAGCTGTGGCAGCAAACCTCTGTAAACCCTCGTTCCTGAGTGATGACGCTGTCCTCACTGTGTTTATGAGAAGGGGGTGGATTTGCCAAGGCCGGTGTCTCCCTGCTCCAGGAGATCATGTCGGGGGCTTGCGCATCCCCTGTGCCAGCACTGCGGGTGGGAGGCGTGCCTGTCACTGCCCCACCACCAGGTCCGTTTTCAACCTGAGTATTAAGATGCATAAACAGCTCAACCCTGAGCCTTGGGGCTCCCTGGACCTGCGCACATCCTTGTGGTAGGTTATGACAGCAAAGGTCTCGGCTTCAAAACCGCCCCACCGAGGCCCAGAGGGACGTCGGACAGGCTGTCCCGTGAGGCTGTGAGTGGATTATCGCTGTCTTCAGGAAGCAGGAGGCAAGGGAGACTCGTCCCTCTGAGCATCCCCACAAACTACAAGTTCACACCCTCCTTTTACGGACACTCACAGTTCCTTTAAATTCACAGCAGATCGCAAACTGAAAGAGCCTTAAGTATGTACTGCATCAAAGTTCAATTAAAAATGTTTACTTCAGCCGAAACCGGTTTGGCTCAATGGATAGAGCATCGGCCTGCAGACTCAAGGGTCCCGGGTTCGATCCCGGTCAAGGGCATGTACCTGGGTTGTGGACACATCCCCAGTGGGGAGTGTGCAGGAAGCAGCTGATCGATGTTTCTCTTTCATTGATGTTTCTAACTATCCCTCTCCCTTCCTCTCTGTAAAAAAAAAATCAATAAGATATATATTTAAAAAAAATAAAATGTTTACTTCATCTGCAATGGTCACAGGTCACCTGCGATTGCTGTGGCACCGGGTTTGGAATAAAATGTGACACGGGAAGTGCTGTGAGAATCCAATTATGGGCCAGCAGACTGCGGCAGGGCGGCCTTAGTCCTGACTAACGCCGACCCCGTGAGCACAAAACCCCACACCTAATTCTCCCAGCGACACACCCCAAGGAGAGGTGGGTCTGCGGTGAAACCCCGATGGCTCTCCTTGGTCTGAATCACACAAATGGGAGATGTCCTCTCGACGGCCATAGCCCACCTATGGGACTCCTGTTTCCTTAGCAACCACAAGGCTACCCAGGCAGCCCACCTGCCGGACTGTCAGCCAGGAGCTCCGGGCAGAACCCAGAGAGCACGCCGGCGAACCCGTGTGTGCAGCGCTCACGTCAGCCTGCCTTCCCATGTGTTTTCTCTCCCACCCTGGGTCTGGCCTTCTCTCCTGCGCCAGCCTCCGCGGCCAGGGCCTGCCCGCCTGCAGGATCGCACCCAGAACAACGGTCCGCCCCGGAGGCGGGTCCTCACAAGAGGCCTCCCTTAGAAGGGCCTTGAAGCAGCTTCGGAGGGAGGCCCCCAGGTGCGAACGGACGCATCTGGCAGAGGGTTTTATTTTATTTCTCCTGGGCCAGCACAAGCCCCAGCGAAAACGAAGACGGGCATTTACAGGATGTCCTTTATCATCAAACTGTCTAACGGGCCAGTGAGCCGCCCCGGCCCTGCTGTGGGAGCAGATTGCAGGGCGTTTACAAAGGGGCAGACAGAGAAGCCGGAGGGGCCACGGGAAGACCCGGTGACAAGAAGGGAAAGTGGCTACCACGCAGGGCAATGCTGCTTACGGAGGAAAACACATCAAACATCCTTCCCGCAGCCCGTCTGAAAGTGGCTTTTAGGGCGGTCATTTGCAATCCAATAACGTCCCGTATTAAACGAGGTCTCTGAAACACGCATCCCCTTTCCGTCAGCGTGAGGTCCATTTCCATGGCAACGGGTGGGGAAAGCAGGCCAAAGCCACGGTATGGCTTCCCGGAGGAAGCACTGGTCTCGTACCCACTGGAGCCAGGAGCGCTTACCGGAAGGAAGAGCCTCAACTCCAAGGAAGGGCCTGGAAAGGATCCGAGGACTCTCTGGCCGTTCCGTACACAGAGGCTGAGGAAAATGCTCTCGTGTGTGCTCGCTTTTTGCATAGCCCACAGCGAAGTCCGAGTCAACGCTCACCCCAGCACTTACAGCTCTTCTCCCTGGAGAAGGCTAAGGGGGGCACCCAGCGCTAACCCGGTGCGAACAGGTGCCTCTCGGGTGGGACTGAGCATTTCCCCAGCTATAACTGGCCAGAGGAGCTGAAGGCTCTAGGCCCGATGCCCCAGAGAACAGACCCGCAGCCGCTCTGGGAGTGGCCCCGGGAGGGAGGAGGGAGACGTGTGCGGGAGGAGGGAGACGTGTGCGGGAGGAGGGAGACGTGTGCGGGAGGAGGGAGACGTGTTCAGGAGGAGGGAGACGTGTGCGGGAGGAGGGAGACGTGTTCGGGAGGCGGGAGACGTGTGCGGGAGGAGGGAGACGTGTGCGGGAGGAGGGAGACGTGTGCGGGAGGAGGCAGACGTGTGCGGGAGGAGAGAGACGTGTGCGGGAGGAGAGAGACGTGTGCGGGAGGAGGCAGACGTGTGCGGGAGGAGGCAGACGTGTGCGGGAGGAGGGAGACGCGTGCGGGAGGAGGCAGACGTGTGCGGGAGACGCAGAAGCCCTCAGTGCGGCCAGCGAAGTGCAGGAAACACGTTCACCGACACCGTGTTTCCCAAAGGCCTGCTCGCCGGGTTCCAACGTCCCCGGGCGCGTTTCTCTTTGTTTTTAATTGATTTTTAGAGGAAGAGGAGGGGAGAGGGAGACCGAAGCACTGACTAACATGAATTGCTGTCTCCTGCGCACCCCCCCTCCTGGGGGTGGAGCCCACAACCTGGGCATGTGCCCTGAGGAACCCAACCGGAAATCCTCTTGGTTTATGGGCCTGTGCTCAACCACTGAGCCACACCAGCCGGGCGGGTGGGCGCATCTGAGACAAGCAGCTCGTCGCCTCGCCGCGGGGCTCCCATGGCCGCTGCTGGCACCGCACACGGCAGCCCCCGTGGCGGCCCCTCCTCACTGACCCTCAGCCAAGCGCCGCCAGAGGCCCAGACCCAGGCTGAGACCCGCCTGCGCGACTCCCTGAGCCCCTGCACCCGGAATTCTTCTGCAGAAAAAGGAAAACGTGACACTCCCACGGTTAACGGAGAGAGACGCAGGGAGAAAAGACGTGGAAACCTTTGTGCTCTGCGAAGGAGGGGACAGAAGGCTGCTTTCAGCGGGTGTCTATGCGTCGGCACAAAGCACTCACAGCCACTCCTCCTAGGCTCCCTTTGAGGACACGGGTTGCTGATAGGCAGGGAACAGGCCAGCGGAGGCAGAGAGTGAGCACCTGGCAGACAGGTCTTGGACAGGCTTTAATGTGGATTGTTTTTCTGGAAACAGGAGCCGGCGGAGGGGGGAGCCACGGGTGGAGAAGGGACCGCTCACCAGCACCTCACACGGAGCAAGAGACCATGTCAGCGACACGCCGCGGAGGAGACCACGAAAGGCAAGGCACCTAGCTGCGGAGGGGCGGCGGCCCCAGCGGGCCCGCTGGGCGCACCGTGGGGGAGTCTGGCCGGGCAGGGTCCCACCGGGAGCCCAGGCCCCTGTTGGCGGCTGCCCTTCCCTCGGATTGGTTCACACCTGCTGGGGGGCGTAAGCGGGGGGGGGTGGGGTGGGGCGAGGGTGGCTGCTCAGTAACACAAAAGCCCTCCTTTCCCTTCGCCTACAAGACGGGCTTCTCCCCAGTTCAGCTCCAGCAGTGGCTCCTGAAGGCGGTCAAGCATCCGGACTTAAAAACAAACAACAAAATAAAACACAGACAGGCGGCCTGAGTGTAAACCAATGGAGTGGGAAGGCAGGTTCCTAACGCCCGGGGCCATCCCCCTGGCGAGGGAGAGGCTCCCTGTGCCCACGGGACGCGTGGCTCTTGGCAGCGGTGAGAACAGCGGCCTTTTCCTTCGAACCTGTGTCCCGCTTGCTGCTGGTGACCGTGTGCCAAGTGCTGATCTTGAGGAGGGGACTCCGCCTCGGCACAGGGCCCCAGGCAGCGTCTGCCTGCTGTGGCCGTGCCCGTGGGAAAGACTGACGCCCTCAGATAATGACACCCCCCCGAGTCCCCTCTCCTCTTCCCGTCCGCGCCCTCCTGGCCGGAGGGGCAATGACCCCGCGTCTCTCTCCGTTCTAGGCACTCTCCGGACATCTCGGACCAACCGGGTCTCTCATTTCTTCCCAACGCCGTTGGTGACTTTGGACTTGGAATGTCGGCTTCTTCTCCGGGAAGAATGGCTTTCGCTGTTGCCTGGATGCCTGTCTTCAGAACCTGCCGGAGGAACGCACAGTCACTGCCACCTGTCACCGTGGCTCACTCAGGGCTGTGGCTGCCCAGCCGCCTGGCCTGGGGTGAAGTGCGGGCTCTTCCACTGGTCCTTGCGCGCCACCTAGTGGCCTCGTTAATAAATGAAGGCAAGGCAGGGAGGCCCCCCCAGAGCTGAGCAGCAGAGCACACAGCCTGGGGGGAGAGGGGTGGCGGCCCCGAGAATTCCTACACTCGCATGATGTGCAGGGTGAGGTGATGGAGCCAGAAGCGAGCGCAGCGAGCGCACAAATGAAACCAAAGCACAAAGGAGGGCAATGAAAAGGGAAACCGCATGGGGGTCAAGTCTACCCTCGCAGCCAGAGTGCGCGATCCAGGTTCCCTCACCTGGACTCGCTGCGCACCCATCTCCAAACCCCTAACCTGGACAGGCTTCCTGGCTTTACGAAGTTAAACAGATCACATGCCCTCCATCATGTGACCTGGAGGCCACTTCAGGGATCTGCTGACGACAAACAGGGCTGGAGCCACGCCAAGATGCCACCTGCCTACAAGGATAGCACCACCTCGCTGTCAGCTGGGTGGTGGGGAGTTCAGAGAAAGATCTAGCCAGCTGAGCGCCGAGCAGTCAATCAGCCTGCACTGTAGGGCGGAGGGAGGGCCTGGGAGATGGCGGGGTGTGTGGGAGAGACCCTCCAGAGAGAGATGTGTAAGGTTGGGAGGTCAGCAAACTTTCTGGCATTGGGTAGGCTCTGCTCTTGGGCTATGTACATGGCCAACTCCTGGCCTCACAGCCAAGCCAGAAGGCTGTCGGTCCCGGGACTCAGCCCCCGCCCCAGGGGTCTCCACCTGAGACCGCCCCTAAGGAAGTTCAGAGGGTGCTGGCCTCCATGGTAAAGGGGCATCTGGCTTAGTCCACAGGACTTTGACCACTCTGAGGATTTTTTCTTTTTTTTTTACTATTCTATCTTTTATTGGTGTATATCTCCACACTGCTTACTTTTCTCAGCCTTTTCAATGGAGAAGTGCTGCAAGTGCCGAGGACTGATCTGTAAGGACGGGCTGTGAATCGGGGAGCCCTGGGGAACCCCTCTGCCTGCTTATATCAGCATTCCGACCCAGGTTGCTGACCAACTCCTTGATTTGGCAAAAACCATCTCAACGTGTGTGTATGGGGGAGGGAGGGGGGAAGGGTGTGCCAGTGTAGTGAAGTGTATGCCAGTGTCATCAGGAGGGAGAGCTCGGAGAGGCTTGACCCCCAAAGAACTCAGGAGGGCAGCCAGGACACCGCCTTCCTCCCCGTTCTTTCTGGGGAGGTCCTCTGGGCGGTGATTCTCGGAGCTGAACCTCGGCCCGGCTTGGTCTCGCCTTCAGTCAGGCCTCCCAGTGGGCTCAGAGGAGCTGCTGTCCAGTAGGGCGTCCCAGTGCCATTATTTCACGTCCCTGATTCTTTAAAATAACGAGTGTCCCCAAATCTCCCCCAAACGCTCCTTGGAGAGAGGCCAGCGGGAGATCCCTGACTTCACCGCTGACATCCCTCTCCCGCCGCCTGCGTCTGGGACAAATGGGCCACCCATCTACCCCTTCGGAAAGGCTTTCCTCCCGGGACGCGGGCCTTCCTACGCCTTTAACTCAGGTTAAAGCCGGAGGGAGAACACTCCCGGGGAAGCTGAGACGTGGGGCCTCAGCGGAGGCAGAACCAGCGGCGCCTCCTCATAAGCACGTTTCCAGGGCAGATCCTGCCTGCACATGCATGTTCCTTCCTGGGCAGAGCCTGCCAGCACATGCATGTTCCTTAGAAGGAACGGAGGCGCCGATGAGCCTGAGACCCTCCGAGCAGATGCTTATCAGCACGCAGAAGCGAAATGCTGGCCCTCAGTCTCCTTACTGGGCCTTGGGCAGGGCAGGACCAATGAGATTTTATGCAGTGAGCAGAACAGAGGTACCTTTTGTGCCTTTCCCGTGAGGCCAGGAAATGTCCGGGCTGTAGCTGCCGTCTTCACACTCGGAGTAAGTCTGCGGAGAGAGGGGGGGCTGGGTGAGGAGCGGGGACCTCCCTGGGAGGGCGGGCGGGTGGCAGGCTCTGCCCTCCCCGGCGGCTCGGTCACCACACCCAGGCCAGGACCTCCTCCAGCTTCTATTCTCAGCTAGGAAGCCAAGGTCATCTCCCGGGTGATGCAGAATATGCTTCTAGAAAGTACCTTTTGTTCCTTAGACTCAAGGTATGAATAAAGAGCAAAAGGTATTACTTAAAAAAAAAAAAATTACAGTTGACAGGACTGCTCTAGCGCTTTAAGCCTGCACACACCCATCCTCTCGCTAATTCTTGCATCTACTGGAGGCGGGGAGGCGGGTGGGCGTATTACAGGGAGAATTCCGGGCTGGGCCCAGGAAGAGGCGGGACAAAGTGGAAGGGCTGGGGATCAGAGGCTTTTTGGGAAGGCCACCTTCCCAAAAGTGACCCGTGCTCTCCCACATGCTTCAAACAAACAGGTCCTAAACCTCTTCCAAAGGAGGGTAGTATGCTGGCAGATGGACGAGGCGTTACAGCATACACAGCCACCGGCAGGGAGGGAACCGGGGCTGGTCCGGTGCCCACAGGTGAGGCCGCAGCGTTCTCCCAGGAGCCGCCCCGCTCACCGCCCCGCCCCCGGCCCCCTACCTTTCCTCGGTGGCCGCAGTGCTCCGCGTACCACACCATGCCGTACAGGCACAGGAAGGTGGTGAAGGCCTGCAAGGGAAATAGCACGTGATCAGCCCTGCTGCGCAAACCCACGCCCAGAGCTCTGGGTGCCCGGGAATTCACAGGAGGCGGCTGGACGCTCGGCCACCTCCCCGGGGCGGGTAGCGATGAGCCCGGAGCGGAGCTGGAGCATCGCGGAGGCTTTGCCAGGCTGAGCAGGCAGGTCTCTACAACTTAAGGAGAGACTGTGGGGTCCCTGAAGGTAGGGTGACCAGAGCGGGCTTCCTGGGCATGGTCGGAGGCCACTGATGCACTGGGGAGTCAAGGGGGTGGCGGGATGCCTGCTCACGTCCCAGAAGTCCCCCTGCCTCCACTCTCTGTGATCCCCCTGGCACCAGGTGAGGCAGTCAGCCACACTACAGGTCACACACCTGAGGTCACAGCACTTGTTACAATCTCCACGCACATCTGCACCTCTCCTCCCAATCCCTGCATGGAGGCTCAGTGAGTCAGAGTGCGAACTCTGGAGTTTCAGTACAAAGGAAACCATTGTTTCCTCTGGTTGTTCGAGCTAAAACAGGGCAGAACCGGCCACAGGTACCCTGGCACAGTTAGAATTTCTCACAAGTAACCCTAAAAATAGAAACTGTGAAAGGCAACAAAAAACACTTTAAAATATAAAGTTTTGTCTTGCAAAAAAAAAATAAGACCTGAATCTGATTAAGCCTCTAGATTCAGCTACCAATTTATAGAAAATATAGAGGACAAAGAAATCTATTCCATTACATACAGGATGAAATCAGGAAAACCCAGACCGTGGGAAAACCTACAGGACAAAGGAACTGGTTTCTTCAACAAGTAAACTGCAAAGGTGAGAGAGCGAGAGATAGAAGGGAATTATAAATTAAAAGAGACTTAAAGTGGCATGCCAACAATTGTAAAAGGTGGGTACTGATTCAAATACATTTTCCTGATACAAAATTTAAGAACAGCAATACGAAATTTAAGTCAGTAAACCGAACTTTGATTAGATATTTGATAATGTTAAGGAATTATTGCTAATGCTTTTTCAAATGTGATAATGATATGGTGATTGCATTAAACAAACAAACAAAAAAAGGCATTTTTTTCTTCTTTTAGAGATACATCCTGAAATATTACAGGTGGATCTGCTTCAAAATAATTTGGGGTGGACATAATGAGTAGGACACAGAAGGAAACCAAACTGGCTGTGAGCTGGTAATTGTTGGAACTGAATCAATAATGGGTACATGAGGGTCATCTACTCTATCTAGGTCCAAACATATTAGAATTCTTAGTGATTATAAAGGAGTGCAAATTAATCTTCTAGACCATGTGAATAAAGAATCCTAAGCTTACATGTAAAATAAGACTTTTCTCCAAAACAATAAAACACCTACGTTAAAGAGGACAGTTGCAATGTGTAAGCGAGGTAAGCTCTCACTTCCCATCAGAGGTGAGGGAAGGGTCCGAGGACGATGGAGCTGCAGGCCCCGGATGCTCAGCGGGTGTAGATGAATTCCCGTTGTAAGTAAAATGAATGCATGTACGAGGCGCCTGCAGAGAGCTTCTGACCAGGACCCGCGAAGGGGATCCATTCTGCCTGCCATGTGGTTCTGTGTGTTTATTCTTGAACTTGAGACTGGTGACCATCCCTAGGTTATTACAAATAGCATATCCTGTCTATGAACTTCTAAGAAACCTTGGTACACAAAAGAGGTGTGGGGAGTTTTGCTAACCCTTTGGGTAAGAAAAGTAATGACTTACCACACAAAGAAGCCAAAGCATAACATATAGTATCTGTGTCTTAGAGAAGAGATCTTGTCCAAATTTTATGCAAACAATAGCTTCCAGGAAAGCAATGACCCTGTAACAAAGAACAAGAGGTTAAATTCCCAGTATCAGAGCATATACCTTCCCAGAAAAAATGCATTATTCCATTAAGAAGTGCACAGGATTCCGCCCCAAACAGTGGTAGCAGGTCCCCCACAAAATGACACCGTTCTACCCCACTGCACTTCCCACATAAAATACAGCTGACGCCTGAACAATACGGGTTTGGACTGTGTGCGTCCACTTATCTCAATAAATACTGTAAATGTATTTTCCTTATGGTTTTCTTAGTAACACTTCCTTTTCTCTAGCTTAGTGTAAGAATGCATATACAATACATATAACATACAGATATGTGTTCACTGTTTATGTCATCCGAAAGCCTTCTGTTCAAAAGCAGGCGACTAGCAGTTAAGTTTTGGGGCGGGGGGGGGGGGGGGGGGGGGGGGGTAAGAGTGATATGCAAATTGTCAACTTCAGGGGTTGATGCTCCTGATCCCCATGTTGGTCAATTGTGTGTGTGTGTGTATGTGTGTGTGTGTGTGTGTGTGTGTGTATGTGTATTACATATACTACATAATCATATATACACATATATGTTTAATAAAAGGTCCGGACCTCACAGCTGACTTCATAATGGCCTGAACTTGTCAGTCACCAGCTTTAGGAAGTGCTTTGCTCCTATGCTAAGGAGTCTGGGCTAAGCCACTGTCCATGCATGTGGCCTTCTCAGTGGGGTGACCGTTGAGCAAAGACTGGGTGGGAAGGGGGGCAGTGGGGCGGCCTAGAGTGAGGGGAAGGGGCAGCGTTGAGTCTTAGAGGAACATGGGTTGCAGGCCTCCTAGGAATTACCATGATTCAATTTACATTTTATTTATTTTTAAATCCCTTTTTTTTCTTTTCATTTTTTATTAAGGTATTATATGTGTACACATCTTACCATTGTCCCCCCACCCAACTCCCATACATGCCCTCTCCCCCCCGAGTTTTGTGTCCATCGGTTATGCTTATATGCATGGGCATAAGTCTTTCAGTTGATCTCTTATCTCCCCCACCTCTCCCTAACCTTCCCACTGTAATTTGACACTCTGTTTGATGCTTTACTGTCTCTGTATCTATCTTTTTGTTCAACAGTTTATAATTTTCTTTATTATCCATCAATGAGTGGGATCATGTGGTGTTTTCTTTCATTGACTGGTTTATTTCACTCAGCATGATGTTCTCCAATTCCATCCAGGTCGCTGCAAATGGTAAGAATTCCTTTCTTTTTTATGGCAGCATAGTATTCCATTGTGTAGATGTACCATAATTTTCTGATCCAGTCATCTGCTGATGGGCACTGAGGCTGTTTCCAAACACTGGCTATTGTAAATTGTGCTGCTATGAACATAGGGATGCAATATCCTTTCTTATTGGATTTCCAGTTTCTTAGGTTATATTACTAAGAGTGGGATTACTGGGTCAAATGGAAGTTCCATTTTCAGTTTTTGAGGAAACTCCACACTGTTCTCCACAGCGGTTGCACCAGTCTGCATTCCCACCAGCAGTGCACGAGGGTTCCTTTTTCTCCACATCCTTACCAACCCTTGTCCTTTGTTGATTTGTTGATGATAGCCATTCTGACAGGTGTGAGATGATACCACATTGTCATTTTGATTTGCATTCAATTTATACTTGATAGATGTGACAGCCCCGGGTTATGGAAGCTGTGAACAACAACAGAGACTAGCTAGGCAGACCTATGGGCAGGAACCCTGTACTTACTATGCAATTGCGGGGTAAACTTAAAATTATTCCCAAATAAAGTTTTATTTTTAAAAATAAATTAACAACATTGGCCAAAAATGTTCAGTGGGAAGAACATCAGTCCAAAGAATTGTTTGTGGGTCCCACCCCTCAACAACAATTGGGTGAGGTTGGATTGGATACCACCCCTCATCAACAATAGGGTGAGGTTAGAAGTGGGTCCCGACCCTCAGCAACCATTAGGTGAGGGTGGAAGTCAGTCACAACCCTAAACCATCATTGGGTGAGGTTGGAAGTGGGTCCCACCCCTCATCAACAATTGGGTGAGGGTGGAAGTCAGGCCGATCCCTCTACAAACATTGGATGAGGGTAAAAACGGGTACCACCTTAAAAGCCCATTGGTTGAAGTTGGAAGAGGGTCCCACCCCTCAAAAACGATTGGGTGAGGTTGGAAGTGGGTCCCACCAATCAACAAACATTGGGTGAGGTTGCAATTAGGTCCCAACCCTCTTGAATCTTCAAATGTCCACCCAACCCACTCAGGCACCAGTCTTCCTGCTAAACCACGTCCACATTTCCACTCCACGGATAGGAGCTCACAGTGTTGCTGCATTGAGCTGCTACACTTGGGGCAGCTTGCTATGCAGCACTAGATAACCAACTCGACAGTGGAGTACAAAGTACAGTGCCTGTCGGGTACTAAGTACTAGAATCCCTGCTAAACCCCTCAATGAAAAGAAAGAAAAATAAATTCTAAGGGGAGGACAGACTACTCCACACCTCCGTTAGGTTAAGGCAGCGCACAACAGAAACACAGATGTCTAAACAACCCCCACCTTTGGGCCCAGCAACTTTGACTGTTCTCCGCTTCTTCCTCACTTCTCATGCCAAATCTACCATCAAGGACAGGTTACAACTGTGTGGTCCAAAGGCACATCTCTACCCCACACATACCTCCCTCTCTATCCCAGAAGGGACTATGTGTCTCTCTGCCAATGCTCAGACTGTGGAATGGAAATCACAGCAGGTGTACAGTGAAGACCCTGGCAGACACACCAGGATCCTGGTGACCAAAGCCATCAACAGAGATCCACGGATAAATCATGTTGGTATCACATGCCCTGACTCTGTGCAATGAGCGTGCTCCACGCATGTGGTGCTCTTCCCTAAACCCCAGTCTATTATAAGGAAAACATCAGAGAATCCAAAAGGCATCCTTCAAAACACAGGACCATCACGGTGCAGCCACACACGGCCAGCGTGGCCCTCAGAGGGGGCGGCTGAAACGCTTGGAAAAGACAGACAAGAGGATGAAAGCTGGGTCTCGGGGAGATGCTGCTTCCTGAGAGACGGCACCCAAGCCCATGAGCCGAGGCTTTATTTGGTAGCAGATGCCACGAGGCAAAGTGAGGACTTGGTCAAAGATGTTGACAGCATTCTCAAGGGTTCCCATCCTACTCCATTACATGCACCTGAGCAAACCTGGGTTACCTGCAGCCTATATCAATCAGGCAAGTGGGGCCATGTCTTCAGACCATAGGTTCAAGCTTACAACTCTAGCTGTTGGAAATAATTGTGCTGGGAGCTTTGCCTTCCAAGCTGGGACATGCACATGGCCAAGAGAAGACGGGGTCATCTCATCGGTTCCGGTCCTGAATAGGTATCAATGCTGTAGCCCCTCTGCACCCTCCAAGCCCGCGAAGGTCATTAAACACAAGGACGCCCGGGAGACAATGCACAGACGGGGCTGAAAGCAGCGAGGGGTCCTGGAAGATCCCCAACAGAAGAAGGCTGTCAGTGAAAGACCAGGAAAACACAAGTCGATGGTCGGGTTCAAGCAAGGCACCAGCACTCACTTGATAGCTGTGTTGGCGCCGGGGTTATGGAAGCTGTGAACAACCGGAGACTAGCTATGCAGACCTGTGTGCAAGGAACCCTGTACTAATTATGCAATTGTGGCGGGGTGGGAGGGAGGAGGAATTGGAATTATTTCCAAATAAAAAAATTTATGTTTAAAAATGTAACGAACGGCTCTAGCCAATTATGTTCAGTGGTAAGAGCATCAGCCCAAGGACTGCTTGGTGGGTCCAACCCCTCAACAACCAACGGGTGAGGTTGGGAGTGGGTGCCGCCCCTCAGGAATCAGTGGGTGATGTTGGAAAGGGGACCCACCCCTCAACTCCCATGGGTTGAGATTGGCTGGGGACCAGCCCCTAAACTGCCATTGGCTGAGGTTGGCCGTGGGACCCGCCCCTCAGCTACCATTAGCTGAGGTTGGCATTGGGACTTGCCCCTCCACTAGCATTGGCTGAGGTAGGCAGTGAAACCGGCCCCTCAACTACCATTGGGTGAGGTTGCCAGTGGAACCCGCCCCTCAACTCCCATTGGCTGAGGTTGGCAATGGGACCTACCCCTCAACCCCATTGGGCAAGGTTGGCAGTGGGAAGTGCCCCAACACTACCATTGGCTGAAGTTCACAGTGGGACCTGCCCCTCAACTCCCATTGGCTGAGGTTGGCAATGGGACCTACCCCTCAACCCCATTGGGCACGGTTGGCAGTGGGAAGTGCCCCAACACTACCATTGGCTGAAGTTCACAGTGGGACCCGCCCCTCAACTCCCATTGGCTGAGGAAGGGAGTGGGACCAGCCCCTCACCTACCATTGGTTGAGGTTGGCCATGGGACCCACCCCTTAACTCTCATTGGCTAAAGTTGGCAGTGGGACCCACCCCTCAGCTACCATTGGCTGAGGTTGGCAGTGAGACCCACCCCTCAAAGACCATTGTCTGAGGTAGGCAGTGGGACCGGCCCCTCACCTACCATTGGCTGAGGCTGGCCATGGGACCAGACCCTCAAATACCATTGGCTGAGGGTGGCAGAGGAACCCGCCCCTCAGCTACATTGGCTGAGATTCGCCAAGGGACCCGCCCCTCAACTACCATTGGCTGAGGTCAAAGTGGGTGCCACCCCTTAATAACCATAGGATGAGGTTGTAAGTAGGTCCACAAGGCAGGACACAAATTAATTACAGAAATACAGAGCTCTCTGAACAACCCCCACCATTAGGCCCAGCCCTTTTTTACTGGTCCCGCCCCCTCCTCACTGCTCATGCTCAAATCTACCCTCAAGGACCCCGGGCAATTGTATCAATCCTTAAGCACTTTCCCTCCCTCCCCCGCCTTCCTCCCATTACCAGTTGGCACTATGTGTCTCTCTCCCAGTGCTCAGACTGTGGGATGGAAATCACAGCAGGTGTACAGTGAAGACCCTGGCAGACACCCCGGGATC